CGCCTTAAATTTTTAATTCAACGACTTAAAAATATGAATGAAATATAAATTTAAAACTTATACAATTATTAATTTATTAAATTTTTGTAATGTGTTAAACATCATCATACTTTTTTATATAAATATGAGATAATATTTATTTTAAGACTTTTAATCATTTGACGATGATCTATAAATATTCGTATTCCTATATATATGTTGTTGAAATTCAAAATGTTAAGAGATAATAATAATTTTTTAATTCGCTAAATCGGGTTACCCTTAACATGGGTAAAAAAGGCACCTACCCAGGGTTCTCTCTTACCTAGGACACACTTACCCAAGTTTAAAATTATAAATTCATAATTTTTTAAAATCATATTTAATATGACATTTTATTTTGGTCATTCACAATAATATTGACATAATAGTAAAATCTAACTTGGACCCCTATAAAAGAGAATCATATTTGTTTTGTGTGAGTTTATTGTTTAATAATTTTTTTTTATATTTTCTACTTAAAAATTAATGTATTTATTAGATAATTTATTAAACGTTATAAAAAATAATTTACAAACAAATTTATTTAGTTTTACTTGTTGTTATGATTCAATTTTTTCGATACTTATTATTGGTGTATGATTTCTATGTTGATCCCATGACATTAAAATCTCATAAATGTGTCTGTCATTAAAATCACTTGATGAGTACATAAACATCGTAATTAAGAATGTGTAAACATCACATGATTTTATTTATTTTTTAACCTTGATTGAATATAAATTAAAAAATTAAAAAATAAAATATTTTATCTGTCTTTTCTGACGGATGCATGTACATCCTAGGATGAATACTTGAGGGTCACGTGCACGTTCTGGGATTTGAATTTTTTTTAAAATTAGTTATTATTTTTATTGAATTTGTCTACTTTAAAATTTTATTTATGTCTATTTTATACGAATTTTTTTATTATTAATATATATGTATTTACCTTGAAAAATATTTTTAGATCTAGAATATTTTTAATGGGAAAGAAGCAAAAGCCTTAATCGATTACAGCAAGTTTCACATAGAAAGGGTCTATGGCATCCCTTTCAACCAAAGACGTGTAATTATGAGGAAGAAAAAGTATGGTAGGCTTAAGGGTGAGAGTTCGATCGAATCGAGTCGAATTAAAAAAATTTAAGTTATTTGAGCTGACGAGTCTTATTTTACAATTTAAAGTTGATTTGAATTTTTTTGAGTCGAGTCGAATTTTCGAGTTTCTATTTAAATTTAATTGTAAATATTTATAATATTATGCTATTATTTGATCATAATTTAAATAGTTTTTTTATAACCATATAAGATACATTTATATTTTTTCATATTTTTTTCATATATCATACAAATTTGAGATACTCGACTCAAACTTAAAAATCAATCCGCTAATTTGCTAAAAATTTTAAGTTATTCGAGTTACATTTTACAACTCGATTTGAATCTGAAATATTTTTCAAGTTGAGTCGAGTTTACGATATTACAACTCGAAGTCAATTCGAGTCGAGTTGAGTCGAAAAAATCAGTTTTTAAGTCAAGTCGAGTTTTGTTCACCCCTAGTCATCCCATCAACATGTATATTCTTTTTACGATCAATAAAAAATTAAATGTTATCTTATCTAAATAATAAAAATAAACTATTAATCCGAGTCGAATTCAAACATATACAATTATAGTGTGAAATTTACTAAATTACAAACAAAACTCATTTATGTAAAATAACCTTTATGATTATGCCCTAAAAACATAGGAATGAAAATAGAGAGAAAATTACACTGATTTAAAATAAATTAAATATAATATTAACTATTAATTTCAATCACACCTAATAATTGACATCTGCCAAATTTTGGTATTCAATCACACCTACTAAATGATTTGTTAAATATGTGTTTTGTTGACTTTGGGATCTTTTCTCAACTTGCAAGCACACTTTTTGCCTCCCATTTTTGACCCATAATATAAAAGCTAAACAAAATTTTAATTTTTTTTGGTATAACCGTCAGTATCATATCTATTAATCGACTAATTCGAATCGAATACTGCATAGGCTAAAACGATCCTCTCAACCCAGTTTATTCTACTCGTGGTTGTCAAGATTCGAATATCTAACCTTACTTAAAGGATCTAGTGTTTCATGCTTCATCTCAGTAGACTAACTGATTGATGGTATGTCTAATATTTATTGATAAAAAAGTAATTTATATCACATATTTATTGATAAAAAAAAGTGATGGGAGGCTAATTTTAGAGAGTATATTCACCCATGTTTAAGAGTTGTTGGAGTAGATAATTGTTATTTGACAATTTTGCCCATCTATTACTCCTATAAAAGGAGTGGGGAGTAGTCCCTCCCTAATGTATATACACAAATGATAATTTCGGTATTTTCTTATGTCAAGGAGAGCAGTAAAAACGGGTTTCACTTCCTTATTTCAGGTGTATAAGGTTTGAAAGATTGTGTTAACCTGCGGGGTAACGTTCATTTTTTAGATTATACCAATACGAATGAAATTGCTTCTAAGATCATAATACAGTAAATCATCCTATTCTCTTGATTATTTTATTATTATTATTATTATATGTTAATCAATGCTAACGCTTTTGTTTTGCAACAATCTTATTTTCTAAGAGTGATGATTTCAATGTAGTGTATGTTCATAATTTTTTAGCTTATTAACAATACACACACATATTGTAGAAGCAGTTGTTCGAACTCCATACTTCTAAGAAGAACAATATTTTCTTTTACTACCGAGACAACTCAATGAGTTCTTTTTTATCGTATATTCAAATCATATTTATCAATATTTAAATTTAACTTAAGGATAATATAACTATATTCGAATTATATTTATCAAACTCAAAGTAATATGTATATATAAATATTTCGTTTAAACCTCAAACGAGATATTATATTTTAGGATAAATTACGCATTTATTACCTAAAATATTAGTTTTGGTCCATTTTAGTATCTATTTTTTTTTCAAAGTCATACCTAAAGTATAGTTTTTTTTTTCATTTTAGTAACCCGCCAGTAGAAACTTTAGTTTTTGTTTCATTTTAGTAACATGCCATTAGAAACTTTAGTTTTTGTTTCATTTTAGCAACCCGTTCAAAATTTAACGTTAAGTTTGGGGGAAAATTGCAAGTTTAGGTACTAAAACAAACCAAACTGATAGTTTAGGTACTAAACGCTTTAAATTTTTAACGGTAGGATACTAAAATGAAATGAAAGCTAAACGTTAGGTATAGTTTTGAAAAAATTGAAAGTTCAACTACTAAAACAAACCAAAACCAATAGTTTATGTATTAAATGCACAATTTACCCTTTTTATTATTAAAAAAATCTACAAATATAGTGAATTTAGATTAACAAGATAGATTAGATTAGGGCCCGTGGGACTTAGAGTTTGGGTCAGGGGCTAAACCAAAAAAATTAATTAATTATAAAAAACAATAAAACAGACTGCATCTTTTTAATAGGTAAACTACCCAAATGATCACTTAATTATATGATTTATGTCGATATGAGTATCATATTTTTAATTTTAATAATATGATCACGTAATTATTTAAGTGATATCAGTATAGCCACATACAATTACAAAACAAACTGCATAACTGATGTGTTGTTATTGAATGAGGGCGAGTCAGAAGTCCACATCAGCTACGATGCTTGTTTTGTAATGACAATATACTATATTGAAATCACTTAAGTGGTTATGTGATCATATTGTAAAAATTGAAAGTATAGTGGTTATATCAATGCTACCACCATAATTAAATGGCCATTTAAGTAATTTACCCATGATTAAACGTAAGAAGGTGCACTATAGTAAATAGTTGTGACTATGAGAAAATAGTGATTTAAAAGTTTTACTGAGAAATTAAGAATTTTAAATTTTTAAATAATTAATTAAAAACTTAATCATATGTGTTCAGTAATGATTGAATTATAAATTTCTTTAATGAATATTGGTAATTTAAATTAAAATAATAATAAAATAAAACGTTGAATACTTAAATAATAAAAAATATAATTTACACACTTTTTCCGATTAATTATTGATAGAAAAAGGGTAAACTACGTATTTGATACTTAAACTACCAGTTTTGATCTATTTTAATACCTAAACTTTTTTTTTTTTTCAAAATCATACCTAACATTTAATTTTTGTTTTATTTTAGTATCTGTCACTAAAAACCTAAAGGGGGCATAGCTCCGGCGGACGAACAATCAATTCAAACTGTGGACCATGAAATAATGATGAGTCGACCAACATAGTCAATTTCAGGCCATTGGACGGTTGACGTCGGAGATCGAATGATGAATAAGTCGAATAGTTGATCATCGATTTGGAGAGATTGACGCATTTATCGATGACACATAAGCCAAAATCACATTTAGGGGATCGGGCTAAAAAGTTTGGGATTCATCGGCCAACGGATGCGACGGTCGACGACCAATAAAAGTTTAGGTACTAAAATGAACCAATATTGGTAATTTAGATACTAAATGTGTAGTTTACCCAAAATTATGATTTATACACTTTTTTCGATTAATATTTGATATGAAAAAAGGTAACCTACACATTTAATACCTAAACCATCATTTTTATCTGTTTTAGTACCTAAACTTTCATTTTTTTAAAATCATATCTAATATTTAGTTTTTGTTTCATTTTAATACTTAAACTATCAATTTTGGTTTGTTTTAGTACCTATACTTTCAAAAAAATCAAAATTTAATATTAAAATTTGAACAAGGGTACTAAAATGAAACAAAAACTAAACTTTTAGGTATGATTTTAAAAAATTAAAAGTTTAGGTACTAAAATGAATCAAAACTGATAGTTTATAAACTAACCACATAATTTACCCTGCCTGGATTGAACTATCCCTAAAACGGAGCAAATAAGCAGACGTGAAGAAGTCTTAATTTCCGCATCGATCAAAACCAAAGGAAAAAAGAAAAGAAAAATTAAAATCAGATAGACATATTGAAAGTTTTGAAGATAACCCAAAAACTCGACGCGCTTATCAACGGAGTTTCAAACACGAACCAACCATCAGATCCACTAATTCCGCGAATATTCCAAAGGCGCTTTAAAAAAGGCGCGTGAACAGCCCTCGCTCCTCCCTTGAATGTTTGTTTGTTTGTTTTTTTCCCCTCCCGTAATCGGCTGGGATCCAGAACCACCTCTCTTATCGTGAAGAGCCAATGAGCATCTCTGATAACTCCATAAATCAACCATGTCTTCCTTCGTGTTCATCGCCAACTCGACTCGGATCACGAATCGCTTCACTCGTTTTGGCGCTTTCTCATCTGTGGAGATAATCCCCCGCGTCTTGACTCAGTAACTCGGTGAGTCCGTTACTCCTCCGTATTTCCTCTTTTTTTTTTTCTCGTTTTAGATCTGTTTATTCTCTGTTGGATTTTTATTTTTTTGTCTGTTTTCAAGAATTGAAAGATGGACCCGATGGATATTGTAGGGAAGTCGAAGGAGGACGCTTCGCTTCCCAAAGGTAATTTAGTTTCTTCTCTCCTCTGTTTTCTCGTCCTAATTTCTGTTTCATTTATATTAGTTAATCGGTGAATTTTGATGATATTTCATTTCTTTTCCCCTAAATTTTTCCTCTTCATTATTTCGATTCTCTTATTGTGTGCTAAATTTATGAATTTTAAGTCTTAAATTTGCTGGGGTTTTTTATAGCTTCTATCAAAATTAGCTAAGAAAGGTAAATCATAGCAGTTTCCAGTTTCGTTGCTTAATTCAGGTCTTGGATTGTCTATGTCAACTCATGCTTTGAGTTATTAGTGAATGAGTTACCCTTAAAAAATATTTAGGTTTTTATCCAAAGTATCAATCAAATTCAATAATTCAAGAAAGGTGCATCTTTCATGATGTGAAGGATAATTTTGCTTTTAAACTTAGTATTGTTTTATGCTAGCTTTTTACTGTGAGAACTTTTAAATCATGGGAGGAGTTGTCTATCTGAATGTTTTGTCTATCAAAGGCATTGACTGCATTCCAGTTGGTTGGTTGTTCTATTTACAGTCCTAAAGAGATTTCTTTTCTAGAGCTTCTGTAGGGGAACATTATGCTGGTTGGGGAATGTGACGACTTTGAGGATCAACAGTTGAGTATATCTAGAAAGGAATTGGTTTCACTACTAGTCAGGGCTTTGGGAAACAGTGCGAGTATGTGGAAAATTGAACTGAGACTGGCAGATTTTTTTTCCCCTGGTGAACTTGTGTTGCATAGTGAAATGGGGTTTATGAGCTAATAACAAGGCTGTAATGCTCGAAACAGTTTACATATTTGCTTTTGGTGCAAATGTTATAAAAAGGGAATCGGGTTGCTTTCCCTTGTGTGCTTGCAAATTATATTAATCCCATAACTTGTCCGCCCATGGCTTTCCCTGGGACCTGCGGTTTGGTTTAGATTTGTTTCTTTGCTTTATGATACCAATTATTTATAAATCTTTGCTTTTTGCAGCAACTATGACCAAAATTATAAAGGAAATGTTACCACCGGATGTACGTGTTGCAAGAGATACTCAAGATCTTTTGATTGAGTGTTGTGTAGGTAAGATGATAAGTGTAATTTTTGTCTCTTTTTAACCAGTACCAATTTAAGGTCTCTGTGGCCTCTATGTATTCTTTTAATTGTCAACACATCGATTTTTTTTCAAAATTTTCTCCACTGCTGAGTGTTGACTTTTCTGATAATGATCACTTAACCATTATACTTTTTGTTTTGGCCAATTTCATAACATTTTCTTTTTCAAAGTAGCGGGCCAGAGGAATATGGTATCTATTATTTTAGATTTATAAGGTAGTTCTGAAACTGTTTTGAGATTCATATTATCGATCATTTTATATGTTTATAATCCCACTATTTGTTTCATTGAAGATTTTGGTGGAATATTTTTTCATGTTAGGATGTTTGGCTAGTATATCACCAGCTATATTCATTTGTCATTTTTTTTCGTCAGTGGAATTTTATTGTCTAACCATAAATCCATAATAAATGATGGCATTACTTCTTGTTTCTTGTAACTAACGAAAGCTGCAACCCTCTTGCAGAGTTTATTAATCTTGTTTCATCAGAGTCCAATGAAGTTTGTAACAGAGAAGATAGACGAACAATAGCACCTGAGCATGTAATAAAGGCTTTAGAGGTTACTCTCTCCTCAACGTAATTTCACATTTAAATTAAGTCCATTTTGTGTGTTATTTTTCAACCTTAATAAAGCAATGCCTTCAATAGGACCTTTACATATGCTGTTACTATGCAGCAGTGTCTTTATCTTGTGGGCACTTATTCTGCCTCCAATCCTTGGTAATATTGATGGAATTTTATTACTTTTTTAACAAGTCTAGCACCATCTTCATCAAATCCATTTATCAAGTAGTCTCTGTGAAGGAAATTGTTGTTTCATATCAAGATATGGCTTTACTTTCCCTCTCTTTTTCCTCAACACTTGTGAAGTAGGAGGGGCAATTTCATTTACTAACAGTGATCTGGTTACGATTCTGCACTCTACTTGCTGACGTCCTTGATCGTACCATGTTTTAGCCTACATATAAATATACTTGTTCTTATGACTCACGTATGCATGTGATTTGCCAGGTTCTTGGGTTTGGAGAGTACAATGAAGAGGTATATGCTGCATATGAGCAACACAAGATTGAGACGATGGTATATTTTTGTCTTCTTGCTAATTAGCATTTAGCTTTCCGCAATTTAAACTTTTTGGAGGTAGAAATTAGAATCATAGTTTCTTAAAATTGAGATTGCCAGAAAGCTTGTTTTACCTCCGTCTTCACAAAATCATGTTAAGATTGGCATATCATTTTTCCCAATTCCCAATCATGAAGCTGGAAATCCTTTGCTACTTTTGTCTGCTAGAGCTATTTTCCTTCAAAAATAATACAATACAATACAATACTGCATTTTTTTTCGAATTTGATTCCGTAACGAAAGCACATCCCATCATTATTCACTGAAGGTATTCTTGAAATGCATTTCAGCAAGACTCTTTGAAAGGTGGGAAATGGAGCAATGGGGCAGAGATGACCGAGGAAGAAGCAGCAGCTGAGCAGCAAAGAATGTTTGCGGAGGCACGTGCGAGAATGAACGGTGGTGCCGTTGCCCCAAAGCAACCAGATCCCGACCCAAGTGTAGAGAGCTAACTGATTAGGACTTCCTGTACCGTAGGCAAGCATCCTTGACTCTTCTATTAGCGCTTCTAAGTTTTAATCTCATATATTATGTACAAAAAAGAAAAGCTATCGGTTAGTGTACTGATCACTGTGGATATTTGTATTTTTTTTAATCTATGGATGCTGTCTATAATTATTTAGTTAGTGAGAGTTTGTTCATTTCCACCGGTGGCAGTGTCAAAACCTTGATATGTAATTGTTTCAGTCATATGGTATTTTAGTTGGTAGATCTTACTGCAGTAAGACACTGCCATAGATGACTGTTTGACTTGAAATGTCTGCATCCATATAAGATTCTGTGTGTGTCGGTTTTGAACATGTATTCGATGCGATTGTTTACTCAACACTTCAACTATTGTACGTTAGGTATTTTATTGAATACAAGATTGATGAAGATTTGTACATTATGTATGTGAATCTATACTTAATTCGAGGTTTAGCTTCTGTATCAACAATGGAGCAGCGGCTATGGCGACTGATTGTCAAATGGTGTAGTTGCCCCTGGAGATCTGCTAGTTAACGCGAGATTAACGTCATCTCTCTATCGTAGCGGTCAACTTTATTTTTCATTTGTGAAAGGGGCAAATTGATTCCCCCCCCCCCCAGTACGAGGGTCACATTGGATGTAAAATGAGTTCAGGGTTCACATTGATTTTTCCCCAAAAGTTTTGAGGGCCTTAAATATCATTAAATCAAAATTAAATTAGACTAAATAGCAATAAAGGAAAACTATGGACAACTTGTGACGTAGTTTATTCTATTTTTATGAAAAAGCAAGCAACATAAATGTATAAAATTTGAAATAATTTGATTTTTTATAAGTTCAAAATCTAATTTTATAAATAATCAATTATATATATTTCGTCTCCGGAGTACGGCAACATCCTTCGAAAAGCGGCGATCTATTTGTATGACTTATAATAGACTCACACGACCTACTAGTGTCAAATCCACTATGACTTGATCATATCCATTTAGTCTGTTAGCCTACGACTACGAGTATTCATGATGATCTTACGACCGAGACACGCAATAAGGATAACTATAAAATGTATTGAACAAGACCAAAAGATGTGATCCAAATGAAACCACCACACCCTTATTTGTCTACTCTCTCCACTTTCTATAGAGAGAAAACACATTGACACTAGGCCTATAAATGAATTGAACATTCAGCGAACCGTTCATGAACCGTGCGGCGGGAAGTTCGTTTATGTGCGTTTATTTATTAAATGAATGAACATGAACAAGATTTTGTGTTCGTTTAATTAAATGAACGAACATGAACATAGGTCTTGTTCGTTCATTTACGTTCGTGAACGTTCGGTTATGTTCGTTTGGTTATGCTTGTTTATGTTCATTCATTTATGTTTAACCCAATCTTCTTAAATCAATTTTGGTGACCAATTTGTAAGTATCTTAAAAATATTAATTAATCTGATATTCTGATAACAAACTCCATAATTAACCCAATTTTATTTGGAGATTAAATCCAATATGTTAACCCGTGAGGCACCTGCACCTATATTCATTTCCCCCTTTTTTCCCAAACCCTAGTGTTCACTGTAGAGTGGAGATGATCGCTGAAAGCTTCAAAACAAGTTCTAATCAGCTCTTACGCTATTTATCACTGTAGATTTGGTTGATTTGCATTGTCGACTATTTTTCACGAAAGAACAATGGAAGGTAGGGTCTCCAACGTTTATGTTCGTGTTCATTTATGTTCATGTTCGTTTATGTTCGTGTTCGTTTATGTTCGTTTATTTATTAAATGAACGAACATAAACAAGTTATATTCATTAATAAACGAACATGAACAAAAAAAATTGTTCGTTTATGTTCGTGTTCGTTTATGTTCGTTTATAACGAACATGAACATACCTCCGTTCGTGTGCGTTCGGTTCATTTACAGGCCTACTTGACACAGATCAACGGTCGATCTGTCATCGACTATAATTTTTCGTTCGAACTAAAAAAAATGAACCGCCTTGAACCGTCACCACCCATTTTATCCCTTTAACATAACCTTATGCTGTTAAAATTGCCAATCCAAAGCTAACATGTGTGTGGATTCAAGGACACTGCTAGGAAGCAGCAACTTTATTTTGAACGTGGCTTGTTATGGTTTAAGCTTGAATGACGACTGGTTAGGTTGTTTGTACTTTTAAAATAATTGTATACGCAGTTCAGAGCAACTCATTTTGTTTTCCACTGTGTAGGATTGGATTCTGCAGTAATCGCGTTTTCTACTGCGTTACATTTTACGCGATTTTAGATATAATAAGTATTATTGTGAATATCGCGGTCGTGGGATGGTAATGGGTCGGGTCGGGTTTTTGGGTCATCCGATCCGACCCGAGAATAAAGGGTCCTCCACCCGTGACCCGACCCGATTCGAAGAAATTAAGGTTTCACCCGACTCGATCCGATCCGAATATATGACTTAGAAACACGACCCGATCCGATCCGAAATAATTAAAAAAATATATATTTTTTTATTCAATAAAAACAGTGATTTAATTGAAAAAAAGTATATATAAAGGGATAATATTATAATTATTCCTAAATATATAGGTAAAATTATATATATTTCGGGTCGGGTCGATTTTTTCACCCTAAACCCGACCCGACCCGAATAGTGCATTAAAAAAAGTCGACCCGAACTGAACCCGATTTTTTTTTTAAAAAAAATACGACCCGATCGGGTCGGGTTCGGGTTGAGTTGCGATCCCTAGTCGTACAATAACAATTTCGGATAACACTAAAACTGTTATAAAACGATCGTTATTCTGATAACATAACAGTGTTTAAATCTTTGATGCTGAGTACTACGGGATGTTTTTTTTTATAAATTTGAGATGATTATAAGGTAATATATGTTTAGAATTTATTTAATCGTTAATAGTGCACGCAACTTTTATACGCAATTGGTCAAATCCGAATCCTTTAAGAACTAATGGGGGAGAAGATACAAAAGGAAATGTTATTCTGTTTTTGATCCCATAGAAACCACAATTCTTCTATATCTAAAGGTGCATTATTTCTTTCGAGGCTTAGGGTTATTTTTACTCGTATAGTAAACTTAATTTATTAATTTCGTTCTTATCGTTTTTGCATCAATTTAAGCCTTAAGTTGTTTAGGGTGTTCATTTTAACCCTCGAAATTCGCTTTGACTAACATAACCGTTAGTCTTTGCATTTATCAACATCAGTAATTTTTAGATCAATCAATATTACCGACGTGACTTGATGATGACATGACATGTATTAAAAAATAAATAATAAAATATTTATTAAATACAACGATTAAAAAAATCTCAAAATTTTACCTGATCCCTTAAACTCTCTTAAATAAATACTAAAATTTTGAAAATCTGTTCTAATCATTGTTTTTAATACATATTTTAATATAATCTCATGATCCACGGACGCGAACTCAACAAATTTCAAGGACTAAGATGAATACCCTAAATAACTTTAAGGGTTAAATTAATATAAAAAATGATGGTGACGAAATTGATAAATTAAGTTTACTACCGGAACAAAAGTTAACCTTAAGCCTTTCTTTCCATTTATGTAATTCAAACTCCAATATAAGCATTAGACACGAGTGTTTTTCCAACAAGGGTTCTTTTTTCTTTCAATTTTCATGAATTTTGAGAGATCTTTCTCGTAAATATGTTAACATAAATCATGCATGATACATACATACATACATAAAAAAAAAACTAGCATAACAAAGAAAAATACATGACTATTTTAATACTAGCATGCTTCCTGCATTCTCTCATGGTAGAATGGAAGTATTTCTGCTATGATTTTCTTGTTAACAGGCTTTAACCCCATTAGGAAAATGGCTTGATGACGATGACGATGATGATGATGATGAGATCACTTGAGGTTGATAGCAAAGCTTTGAATTATTCCAAGCCCTGAACCTTCTCCCCATTTTCTTGTAAAACCCTTCTGAGAACACAAGCTTCCCAGTCAGATTGTTTCCATTAATGTAAAGAGCACCCAGACATGGAAGACTTGCAAGCTTTGGAGAAAGATTTCCAGACAGATTGTTGTCATTTAATCCCAAATATCTCAACTTTTTCATCTCTGGCATGGACTCTGGTATCATCCCTGTCAATCCCAGATTTGAAAGATCCAAGATCTCCAAATCCTGCAAGTTTTCCCATTGAATTCCCATGAGATCACCCCCCAGAGGGTTGCTTGATATCACCATCTCTTTCAAGGAGACGAGCTCTTGAAATGACTGAGTCAACCCACCTGAGAACTTGTTTCTACCAAGATCAAGAAGAGTGACATTCTTCAATCTTCTGATTCCTTCTGGTATCTTCCCCTCGAGGCCATTGTTGCTCAAGTCAAGCTTTAACAAGGAAGTGAAATTGCTCCCAAAGCTCAACTCCAATGGCCCTGATAGATTGTTTCTGCTGAAATCCATTATCAGCAGCTTTGTTAAACCTGCCAGACTTGGTGGAACTTGGCCAGTGAACTTGTTTCCAGCAAGCACAAGCTGCTTCAAATTCACCAGGTTCCCTAATTCTATAGGCAATTCTCCGGTTAATCCATTGTCCAGTAACACCAATGATTGGAGCCTTTTAAGGCAGCCGATGGGGGCTGGAATCTCACCAATGAGACCTCCATTGGATCTAAACTCAAATGATTCTAAGCTGTTTGAGAATCTTTCCCAGTTTGAGGAAGGGATTGTAATGGGGTTATCTCTAGGCGAGAAGAAGCAGTTGAAGAAGGAGAGAGATCTTAGGTGATTTAACTCAAACAAGTGGTGGGTGAACTTTGCTTCTGTGCTACATTGCAGAGAGTTGTCAAAGACCAGACCAATGTTTAGAACTGTGATGTGCCAAAAACCATCAACAAGATCACAGTAAACTCCCTGCATTTGTAAGAATTTTGAGTAAAAAGTGTCAATTTTTACATAAACAAAGATGCTTGAAATTCATACATACAAAAAAAAAACATCTTCAACAGTGACAATAGCTGCCAAAAACTCAACTTGTAATGCCCTTTTTAACGCTATTGGTTGCATGCAAGTTTCCTACTGATTCCCCAAATATTCATATCCTACGTTTGTATTCAACATATATATATATATATATATATATATATATATATATATATATATATGATTCTTCAAATATATGACATATCTGTATTCGAGACATACTCATTTAACCTTCATTTATAGTCTGGATAACAGGGATGAACATAGAATTTAAAATTTTCAGGGACGACCGCCCCTACTGACTTCTTCCGGTCTATCCCTGCTCGATATCATATCAGAAAGATACATGAAAAAGAAGAAGAAAGTGATGTATTTTAAACCTGAATAGGTGTCCATCCACAAGGGTCAGGGTAGAGATCCGAGCCATTCCAAGAGTTCCCCACAAATCCCTGAATGGCACCATATAGTGCATCTTGTTCTTCCTTCACCATTGGAGACACAGATGAAACTTGGTCACCGTCATCTTCACATTCACAAAACACAAGCGACCCAATAAGCAAAAACAGAAGAAGATGAAGAAGACTCCTGTTGATCACAAGGACATTCTCCATGGCCTAAACTTCCTATGTAAGAAAAAAAACCCAAAGCACAAGCAACAACACAAACAGGTTATAAGCGATCAGCTCAACAATACGAGAAAAGGGATTACAAGTAATGCTAACGGATTGTTGTCAGGGTTTTCGGTTTCATGAAGTTATTAGGGGTTCAACTGAAAGCACAAAACTTGTTGCAAAAAGGAAGGGCAAAGACAACAAAGTTTAAGCACTGGTGCAGGCGCCAAAGGGTGCATTTAACACAGTTTAATGGAACCGCATAAAGTAAACCAAAATGACAGCTTTTTAAGCGGAAAAACACACACAAAAGGAAGCCAAGGAGAAACCTATAAAGGCTAAAAGACTTTAAATGGCCCTTCGGTTATCGCATTGTTGCCCCCATGGTGCTACTAGTTAGCTTAGGCCACAGGGTTTCTTTTTGGTCTACTTTCTGCACAAGCATCTGCTTTTGTGGCTAATCAAACCGTGTTATGAAAGTAGTACTAAATGCAGCTTAATTGAGTGAAAATTTTGAAAAAAAAATATGTGGAAAATGCGTTGTTAGAGTTGATGGAGGCCATAGGGCTTATATGCATTTGTAGAGGACCATTCTACCATGCATGCATGCATTCGGTGTCTGCAATGACCAGACCAAAGTATAATATGTAGGTGGCAAAATTAGTGAAATAGTAGCTGACCCTAGGGATGAGGAGAGGTAAGGTAGTAAGTTGCCCCCAACAACAGATTGAGAGCAACTTCTGTGGAAGACCTCCCGGCAGTCAGAATTATGAATTGCTTACTATGGGACTTGATCCCACTACCACAAGGTTAAGAGCCTTGCGCTCTACCAATTAAGCTGGACGGGCAATTCAAATGGTATTCTTCACAAGTTATTTAGGAGTTCGTGGTATTTGTTAAATTTGCTTTTAGAAAGCATTACCAATGGAACCTTTAGTAGAATGAGATATTAAATATCTTAGTCAATGTAGGTTCAAATCCCGACGTTTATGAATGAAGTAAATTAGATTAACAAATCATTCTCACATTTATAATATCCGATTCACATTTATAATATCCGATTTAGATTAATTGATCAATGAATAAAATATTAATAATTAATTATGGTCAATATACCTCATAATTGTATGTTATCACACAATTAACATGAAAGTGTCGACGGTAATTATAACTGCGGGAAGAGTTTCAAACAAATAATGCAGAATTTTTGTTATAATTTTGGTCACCAAAATTCAAAAAAGTTTCAACCAAATAATGCAGAATTTTTTTATAATTAAAATTGAACAAAACTGAAACCAAAGGGACCAATACGGAAATTTATCCAAAAAGGAAAAATGGAACACAGGGCCATTTAATCATCTATTTTAGCTGCACCATGCAAGTCTGGGAAATGCAATGTCTGACCATATATTCTGTACAATAAGGTGCTCAATATCTAACGACTTTCAAACAAGCTGCATAAGAGAGGAACGTTTCCGATCTCAATAACCCCTCAACTGAGCATCACGACTGGTTAACGGAACATACCGGACCGACGTCTCACTTCGGATACTAATCGAACCATCCAAATTTTTATCCACCACTTTCAAGTCTTGGAACATGTTTCCTACAGGAATTACCATTCGACCACCAGGCTTCAGTTGATCGAGGAGAGGCTGAGGTATTTCCGGTGCTGCTGCCCCGACATGTATGGCATCATATGGTGCACATTCCGGCCAGCCTTGTCTTCCATCTATGATACACGGCCAAAGCATCAGTCATAAGCATTCGACAAAACAGACAACGAGCTCGTTTCAATTCCAAGACAACTGAAAAACTGGCTTATGACTTCCTAATCCTGCATTCTCTTGTAATAAAACCGAAAGCATACAAGGAGTTATTGAGTACATACCGCTGGCATGCAGTGAAAGAGAACCTTCTTTCAACAATGGTGCTGCAGCACTTTTTTCGATAGTTTGTATGGAAGAAGCAACCAATTCGGGAATATGTTCCACACCGACAGCGCGACCCTGTGGTCCAACCATCAATGCAAAGCAAGCAGTCAAGTATCCGGTTCCTACAGTACAGATGCAAGACCAAAATAAAAACCTGTCCTTTAAAAATTAGGGGGGGAAAGAATGGACTGCTGATCGATTCACTAAACTCTTCTGGAATGCTGGAACTAGATGCAGCCATCGAGTCTCGTAATTCGACCCTTTTCTTGATTGCCATTGACAGAGTGGGATTTACCCTGAGAGAGTAAGTGTAGCACATTTGGCTTTCCAGCATTCCATCCGAGTTATACAGAAGAAAGAAACTGAAGATGTGTGGAAAATACGTGATCGTATCAAAAAAATTGTGGAATGCAAAGAGACCTGAGCCAACGTCTAAAGCGTGCACGCCGGGCTGCAAATTTTCCTCCAATAATTGAAGACAGGTAGCATGCATATGTGGTGCGGAAATGGTGGCGTTGTAACCTATTGGCATCGGACTATCAACATAAGCCGATGTCCCATCTGGTACAAATAACCCCCTATCGATAGTCTCCATCACTTCAGCAACCTTCATCGATGAAATCACTCCATAACGCCGCAAATGCTCGACCATTTGTTTGTTCTTGTTGATCCCACTTCCGCTCCAAAAGCGCTACAAATAATTCAACAGAAAAACCAAGCACAAAATCACTATCGAAATGAACGAAACAACACCGAACAACATAAGGGTCTCTCAAATTCTCAAGGTAAGTCGAAAACAAAAACTAAGCAGCCTCTGACATAGAAGCTGACCAATAAATCATCTGAATCGACATCGTTCCGACTCAGACGGCCTTCATATCAGGGGCAGTCACAGGCTGAGTTCATCTATCCAAAGTCCATAGACATCATTTCGAGTCACACATCTGGAAATTTCAAATCTCCATATATTGTAAGTATTTTCTTTCTATTCTCTATCGATGATCTAATTTTATACCCTGAAATTCTATAATTTCGCAACCTAAATTTCTAATATAACCCCTTAAATTCGCATATCAACATAGAATCGTGTATCCGTCCCAGTTTGAAATACTAACGTTCTCAAAAGACCAGCACAGCAAAGATCAAATTGCACAATATGTTGATTCAATCCCCAGATTATGAGTAGCCCACAAAACACAAGCAGGTTTTCATTGTAATTCATTGATAATCAAGCTTTACCATAAACTTTTACTAAAACAACAACAAATTCATCATTTCTGGAAAGCCCAAACATAATCGAAGAAAAGAAAATATGAAAGAAGTGATCAAGGAAGGAAAAGGGTACCTCCATCCTGAAGAAGAGACAGTTACCCGTGAGGAGAAGGTTGAAGTTAGGGAGGTTGAGATTGTTAAAAGAGAGAGGGCGAGCTTGGAGATGGTGATGGTGAGGATTGAGCAAGGTAGTGTAGCTTAAGAGTTGCTTTATTGGCGGCGTACAATAGCGGCATCCATACGCTATAACTGTGGATAGATTCATCATTTTTTTTTGGATTTTCCTTTTTTTCTTTATTCCCTTTCTATGACTTTCTCGCCCTTTCTCTCACTTTCATCCATTAATATATACACTTGTCGTCTCCACCTCTGCTCTCTTGGTGATGAGTGTTGTCGGCCGAATCAGCTCGCCTGTTCTGCATGGATAACGTAATTTTTGGGCCTCAATTCTATTTTAGCCCAAAGTTTATAAAATCCTGCTTCAAGGCGTCTTCATCGTGCTTGGTTTCGGCTTGAAGACGTGTAGAAATCCCGACGTCTTCGACAAATCACAGTATTTACACAGCGTCTTCACCGTTTACTGTAGCAAACAGCCTATCCTCGGAAATAATTCCCAGGACGTATTATCTGGGGAATTAAAAAATTAGGAAATATTATCCCAGAACTTTGGCCTTATTTACCTTCGTCTTATAATCCTAAATTAATGTAAAATTCTTTAAGTTTCACATTGTATAACTCGATCTTATCCTATATAGAGGTAGATCCAGTTACAGGGTCGTGGCTAGGTTGTCGGGGGTCCTGTATAAATTCTTAAAAGGACCCCTATTTTCTAGATATATTCGATTTCGGAGCAACAACAGTGACGTTTTTTTGAAAAACGCCACAATAGGACCATCTAGGGTAGTTTTTTTATTAAAAGCCGCAACAATAGTGACGTTTTTTTGAAAAACGCCGCAATAAATCCAACTATAGTGGCGTTTATTAGAAAAACTCCACTATAGATATACTTTTTTAGGCCCCAATTTTTTGGGGGCCTGAGCGGTCGCCCATCTCGCACCGCCCCAGCCACGGCACTGTCCAGTTATACAATATATAACTTTCTAGTTATATATTGATTTAAGATTATCAGATGAGTGTAAATTGATGTTTGATATTAAAAGTCGAAAATTGTGAATTTTTTATGAGAAGAAAAAAAATGACCGTATTCGTCAATTTATATTTATTCAATAATTTTAAATTAATATAAAATTTAATAATTTTATAATATGTAAGTAAATTCAATATATCCTCGTATAACACGAAGATCATATATTTAGCTATCCTAAAAATTCATTATAACAATATCATTATAAATATTAAATCACAATCATATAAACTTATACGTCAAACTGGGATAGATTACCTTAAGACAATCGTTTCATAATAGGTAGTTGTGTCGTACGGTAGCCTAATATACGATTAAAGAAAGACGCTATCGAAAATGTTATTGGTTTTTAATATTTTCGATAACATTTTTGATAAAGCGCTACCTAAAATATTATTTTTTTATCTGAAATGTTAATTTTGCTACCTAATTTCTGGTAGAAAAACCGGTAGAAAAAATAACATTTTAAGTAGCGCCCAATATTAACATTTCCGGTAGAAAAAATAATGTTTTAGGTAGCACTTTACCGGAAATGTTAAAAACCCAATAACATTTCCGATAGCACATTTCCTTAGCCGTATATTAGGCTGTAGTACGGGAGACATCCCCATTTCATAATGGATATATCTTAATCAATGAAAATAAGATTGATATATCAATAAGTTAAAGAGTAAAATATATTAATAGTCGGATTAAAAATTACGAATGCTCCTCTAATTATTAGGAAACTATTTTGTTGAGTTCTTCGACTATTAAAAGTTACAAAATGGTCATTCGACTATTCATACATTCTAAACTCTCTTTTTTTTTTCAGTTTAAAGCTACCGATCGTGTGAGTTAGATGTTAATCTGTTAACTGGATGTGATAAAATTTTATCTCAGAACCGTTTGAGATTTTGAAACATCATGTTGTATTATCAATGCCTCCTATCGTGCCAATCAATTTTTAACATAAAACGATAAGTTTATAATATATGAATAGTCGAGTGATAATTTCATAACTTTTAACAATCAGAGAACTCAACAAAACAACACTCTATAATCGAGAAACCATTTTACAACCTTTAATGTTTTAGGGATTCAACAAAGCATTATCCTATAATTAATGGACCATTTGTATAATTTACCAAAAAAACGATGGTTATGTAATGATTTTTTATGTTTTTTCGGATGATACGACATCGTTTTAAAAGCAGTTTTGAGTTTCATTAAACCTTGAAAAGTCTAAAGCGGCTTCCTCCTCAAAACCCTTTTTCACGACCGCATCGAACCAGACGTCAACAAAGCTAACTTATGCATCCTTAACCCCATTTTTATTCCAGTTTAAAGCTCACTTCTTTCACCATTCTTCTACGCCAAAAATGGCGAATCTCATGCATAAACTCTTCAAAAACAAGTCCACTCAAAGGCTCATCGTATCTTTGAAATCCCCACAACAACTCCCTAAACTCAGTTCTCCACTTATTCCCCACCATGTTTCATTAACCAAACCAGATTCCCTCAACCCCAAACCCCTAAAAGATGATATTTCTACTCAACCTTTGAAGTTTTACCCCAATTTTCCATTTGGGTATTTGTTGAATCCCATTGGCTCAACTGGGTTTGATCCATTAATGGCAATGGAGATCGAGGAGGAGATAACGGAGACCGAAGATGATGCTGGAAAATTTTGGGCTGATAGTGTGAAGAAAAAGAGGAAGAAGAAGATGAACAAGCACAAGTACAAGAAACTGAGGAAGCGTCTAAGAAGAAAGACATAGGCTTTCTCTATAATGGCAAGAACTTCACGGGGGAAGTTGTATTATTTGCTTTGATTTTTTTTCTGAAAGATTTTGGAATTAGTTGATGGACAACTCTTTACTTGATGAATTTGATGTCTTTCGGCAATAATTAGCTGGATTAAAACACACAATTAACATGAGCTTTGCTTATTTTCTTGTATCGGGAGTTTAATTGGTTGTCTAAATTATCAACTTTTGAATGAAATGAGTGTTGCTATGGGAAAGATGCTTATATATTCAATGGGAATGTTCAAGAAGATTATACTAGGCAAATCATTTTCAGATGTTTTCTGATGCTTTTAGTTGTCTGAAGGTCTTGAGTTGATTTTGATTATCTACACGATTCTCACTCACTTTGATTTACATATACTCATTGTGATTTGTGACAATGATATTCTGTTGTCAATTATCAATTTTTGAATGAAATGAGTGTTGCTTTGGTAAGGATGCTTAGATGTTCACTGGAAAAGAGTAAGAAGAGTATATGAGGCAAAATGATTCTCATTTATTGTTTTTTTTTCTCGACTGTCTCGAGCTGATGTACATTCATGATTCGGATCTCACTCACTTTGGTTTTCATAAATTCTGTACGACACTGATATTCTGTTGTTGAATCATTGACTTTTGGATGAAATGTCTGGTGTTATGGAAAGGATGTTTAGTTCACTAGGAAAGAGCAAGAAGTTCATATACGGCAAAATCATTCTCAAATGTTGGTGCTTTCTGATATTTGTTTTCATATTTTGAGGGGCTTGAGTTGATGTCAATTGTTTATATGAATCTCACTTGCTTTGATTTGCATATATTCATTGTGACAATGATATTTCTGTTGTCAATTATCGATTTTGGAATGAAACGGGTGTTGCTTTGATAAGGAAGTATGGATGTTCACTGGAAAAGAGCAAGAAAAGTATATGGGGCAAAATGATTCTCGTTTATCGTTGTTTGCTCGAGTGTCTTGAGCTGATGTCCATTCATGATACAGAGCTCACTCACTTTGGTTTTCATACATTCTGTATGACACTGATATTCTGTTGTTGAATCATCGACTTTTGAATGAAATGTCTGGTGCTATGGGAAGGATGTTTAGTGTTTTCTGATATTTTTTTCATAATTTGAGGGGCTTGAGTTGATGTCAATTGTTTATACAAATCTCAGTTGCTTTGATTTGCTTGTGTTCTTTGTGACACCGATAATTGTCAAATTATCAACTTCCGAATGAACCGGATGTCGATGTGGTACAGATGTTTAGATGTTCACAGGAAAAGAACCAAAGGTTATATCTGGCAATTTCGGTCTCAACTGTTGTTGTTTTCTGATATTTTTCGTAGCTTGATGGTCTCGAGTTGTTCTCATTCGTCTTGTTGAGCTCAAACATTGTATTTGGTTCAGTTTGTATATCTGCATAACCATCATCTCAAATGTTGTTGTTTTCTGATATTTTTTTCGTATTTCGAGGGGCTTGAGTTCATGTTTATACAGATCTCACTCGCTTAGATTTATGTACGCGCTAAAGTCACCGATATTCTGTTGTGCATTGCTGCGACAAGGATGTCTAGACATTCACTAGGAAACAGCAACGAGAGTATACGAGGTAAAACTTCTCTCGAATGTTGTTGTTGTCCGATATTTTTCGTAACGTTAGGCTCTCGAGTAGATGTCCGGTCTTTGTACCGGTCTCACTTGCGTCGATTTATGAACATTCTTTGTGCCACTGATATTTTGTTGTCTAGTTTTCAACTTCTGAATGAAGTGTTGCCATGGCAAGGATGTTTAGGTGTTCATTGGGAAGGTGCAAGGAGAATTATCAGGCAGAATCGTTATCGAATGTGGCTTTTCGATATTTTTCGTAGTATGAAGCCCTCGAGTGGATCACTCAAAGTTGTTTTTTGAAGTTGCAGGTTAACAGTGTGGATTATGGTCGAACAAAACTCGATTCAATTCGGAAAAAAAACTTTTCTTTTGTAATGTCGAGTTATTCAAGTCAAGTCGAACTACTGAGTCTGTTTTCGAGTTCAACTCGAGATCAGATTTTACCAATTCGAAAAACTGAATTTCAAAACGGTGTCATTTTGATCTTTAGTTAAGTACTTTGATTGTTCCTTTATACTCTCATCGATTTATCTTCAAAATCTCTTTTTACGAAATAACATTATAAATATATTTTATAATTTTAAACGATAATTAATTTATTAACATTACAAAATTTACTTACACATGTGAAAAAGAATATAATGAAACATATATGTATATCTTATATGATTAGAGAAAATCGTTTAAATTAAAAGAAATTCGTACCATATTATTATAAATAATTATAATTAAATTTAAACATATACTTAGAAAGGTTATATTGTTAACTTGAATTTTGTAAAATTCGATTCGAAAAACCTTTATATAAAATTTGAATAATATAGGGGACTCGTTAATTCGACTAACTCGATTTGATCAAATACTCGCCCCCAGTATGGATTGTAGAATATTTGTTGAAACATGGATCGTGTCTTTGAGAAATCAACCTCTAAGACTTAGAAGTTGAGACAATTTTGGCCCAATACCGTATGTTGGCTCATTACTTAGGGGATGTTTGTTTACTTCAGAATGATTAAGCGTTGAATGATTCAAATGCTGAATGATTCAGAGACTCTGTATGAATTAGTTCTGAATGTGACATGTTGTTTGATAATGGCTCTGAATCATTTAGAATGTACTTCTGTATTGAATCATTCAGCACTGTTTTGTTGAATCAGTCAGCACTGAAACATTCAGAGGTGAGAAACAAACAGTCTGAATGCTGAACGGTTCAGCATTCAGAGCTGAATGGTTCTATTCAGAGCCAAACAAACAATCCCTTAGTCTAATACGACATCAATTTTTTTTTTTTGGGAATTACAACATTTGTTATAATGATTTGATGAGTTTTTAATAAAATATATTTTTATTAGAATTTGTCACTTCGACGCGACAAAAACTAATAAAAATTATATTTTATTAGAACTCGTCATCTCAATGTGACTAGTTTGAATAAAAAATATTATTTGAACAAACTCGTCACGTGGGCGTAATGAGTTAGTCATGCAATGTAATATTTATTGTAGATCCTAAATTAATTTTGGAGATAGCATAATAAGTTATTTTTTTACCCGCCGGATCTATAGGGCCAATTTTGCCGAGAAATTGAAATCAATGGTAGAATTGTTTAGGGTTCATCCATGGGGTAGAGTGAAAGTTGTATTGGATTAGAGGGGACGTCTTTGATATGGTATGAAGCTTCCACTGTAATACCACCTTGTCCTTAATTTGTCTCTACTGGTAACTTCTTTCTGTATGTTTCGAATATATCCGTGTTAAATATATATTCATATCTGACACTCGTCTTGAATCTAAATGTGTGATTATCTGTTCGTAATCTTTATTAATCATTAATAATATATACACACATTACAAATACAGCTACACGAACTCGAAACCTATAAGAAGAATCATTTCCTCTTTAATATCTGACGCTATTTTATATAGGACCGTGTCCTGTTTTTGGGGTTTGGTTCCCCTACCACTAGAGGATAGTAGGACTTTATGGGTAACTCATTTTGCTGTTTTGGGGCAGCTTTATTGAGGGCGTTACTTAACGGCCAAAAACTACCACAACTGTGGAATCCCATGGCACGTGAAATCAGGAGGCTGATTGGTCCCACATGTATAGGTTAATCAGGACATTGAAGTATGCATTTAGTCCTTTTATAAGTCACCCTTTCCTCTCTCAACTTCACCTCTCCCAACAAAAAAATGGCAATTCCTTCACTTTCTCTGTTCTTCCTCTTCGCCTCCCTTCCTTTCATTTCCTCTTCCCCAGTTAAGGACCCTGAACTCGTAGTTAGAGATCTTAACAGGTAAATAAATGGCTTCGCGTTGTTGTATTTATCGTTATCGCGATCGTGGATGTAACATATGCAATGTTGTTGTTTTGTTTTTGGCAGGGCCATTAATGTCTCTAGGAGGAACCTTAGGCATGCCTCTTGTGGCACTGGCAACCCTATAGATGACTGCTGGAGATGTGACCCTCACTGGTGGAAGAACCGACGGAGGCTAGCCGATTGTGCGATCGGGTTCGGAAAGAATGCCATCGGCGGAAGAGACGGTAAACTATACACTGTCATCGATTCCAGCGACAATGACCCTGTAAACCCTAAACCCGGAACTTTAAGACATGCTGTGATCCAAGAAGAACCATTGTGGATAGTTTTCGCTGGTGATATGACCATAAAATTGAAAGAAGAACTCATCATGAACTCTTTCAAGACGATCGACGGCCGAGGCGTCGATGTTCACATAGCCGGTGGTCCGTGCATTACCATTCAGTTTGTCACCAACATCATCATCCATGGATTGAACATTCATGATTGTAAACAAGGAGGGAATGCTATGGTGAGGGACTCCCCGCGGCACTACGGTTGGCGGACCACATCGGACGGCGACGGGGTTTCCATCTTCGGCGGTAGCCATATTTGGGTGGATCACAACTCTTTATCAAACTGCAAGGATGGGCTGATTGATGCCGTTTATGGGTCCACTGCAATCACCATCTCAAACAACTACATGAGTCACCATGATAAGGTCATGTTGTTAGGGCACAGTGATTCCTACACTCGAGACAAGAACATGCAGGTCACTATAGCTTTTAATCACTTTGGCGAAGGGCTTGTCCAAAGAATCCCAAGGTAACATCAAACTAGTAATATACATACCCGAACACAAATCCGAACCCGAATCGACCGTAATCGTGTCGTTCGCATTTTCAGGTGTAGGCATGGTTACTTCCATGTGGTTAACAATGACTACACCCACTGGGAAATGTATGCTATAGGAGGGAGTGCTAATCCAACCATCAACAGCCAGGGGAATAGGTTCACTGCACCAAATAACATATTCAGCAAAGAGGTGACCAAGCATGAAGACGCGCCGGAGAGCGAATGGAAGCGGTGGAATTGGAGATCGAAAGGCGACCTGATGGTGAACGGGGCTTTTTTCACGCCATCGGGCGGCGGTTCGTCGTCGAGTTACGCCCATGCCTCTAGCTTGGGTGCTAGGCCATCGTCGCACGTTGCCACGATAACGACCGATGCCGGTGCTCTCAAGTGTAAGAAACTCTCTCGTTGTTGATGGAGTTTAAGGTCTAAATATATTGAATACGGTAACCGAGTTCGTAATTTTTTTTAACAACCTTGGTCTGTTGCTATTAGAACATCAAAGACTTCTATCTTTTATCTTTCTCTTTCTCCCGTAGATAGGAGTCTTCTTGCCTTAAAATGAAACATTGGGATCAAAATAACTATTTTAATAAACGTTAGGGGATAATTTTGACATATATCATTAACAAAAGAAAAAAAATCAAAAGTTTACGATGGATTCATTTGAAATTACATTGATAATTTAGGATTAAAATAAAATATTTATAAAATTGGAGACCACTATAAAATAGGAGTCCTAATCTATAGAGCTCTTACATAATTAACTCATTTTCCTCTCAATTCGATACGATCTTAACGTGCATTGGTCACTTATCGTCCTTTTTATTTACCATGAAAGTTAAAACAAACTCTTTCACCATTGGCATAGACTAACAGTCCAACACAACATTACAGCAAAGGAAACACACCACTGTTTGTCTTACGGGGATCCCAAAAACTGTATTTTATGAATCGACTATCCATATCCATCATGTTGTTGAGCTAATACATCTAGGGATGGACTGATAGGTTGAGTGGAAACAGTCGTCTCTTTTGAAATTTTAAAATTATTATATATTTTATATTTTTTCTATGTATTTTCTATTAAAAATCTGTTTTTGCCCTTGAAATTTTATAAGTTCAAGTTCGCCCTTCCAAATAAAATCATGCGTCCGTCCCTGAGTACTTCAAAGCAACTACGGCATCAACAGACATCATTAAAATATGATTTTATCATATTTCAGTCAGCATGTTAACCAGAGGCGGATGCACTAAACCCCATAATAACTAATTGTATCCCAATAATAGGGCGGATGCACTAAGCCCCCATAAGGACTAATTGTATCCCAATAATTTTGGGAAAAATAATTAAATTTAGTTAACGTGTTACGGAGAAAAATAAAATTTTTTGCATACCCATTATTTTTAAAATAAGAAAATTAAAATTTTGAACCTTTCATTTTTAAATTTCTGAATCCGCAACTAAGGTTAACTTCAAGCACAAACTGACATTAATTTTCTAACGAAAAAAGTGTAAGTTTGAAGCATATAAATAATCGAGTGATTATTTTATAACATTTAATGGTCGGATGACTCAACAAAACGACATCATATAATTAGACGATAATTTTATAACTTTTAATAATCGAAACACAACGAAATAATACCCAAATTCTATCCTAAATTGAATTAGGTGCCCTAGATTTTAGAGAGCTTAGATGTAAAAGAGAAAAAGGGAAACGAAGGACATGCGTTATTAGGAACATCTTTTGATGAATATGTGCGCGACTCGCGGCCATATCTTTGACCAAAGTTGCTTTGGATTGCATGCTTTCATGGCCTTTTATTTGTTTATCTATTTATTCATGGCTTAATAAGTATTTAAATTGTGTTAAAACTATGCATTTAATGCTTTTTCTATTTCATTTTTAAATGTTTCTCGTTAAAAAAATCGTTAAGTGACATGTGTTACGTTTAGATTTTTTTAAAATATTTTTAAATAATATTATATTTTTTAAAAAATAAAAAAAATATAAATATTACACGTGTCACTTAATGGGTTTTTTGAACAGTAAATACCTAAAAGTGTAACAGGAATATCATTAGGCACCTATTTTAACCTAAAAAAAATTAGGTATCAAAAATCAATTTTAGATATAGTTTAAACCCTTATTTTTACATTAAGCCTTTATTCAACTACCACTCAATTACTTCCCATCTCTCCACTACCATCTACCATCACAGAGGTTGATGATTTTTTATTTTATTTAAAAAATTAAATTAGAATTTAGAAAATTTGAATCGAGTAAAATCAAATATATTTATTCTTAACTTTTACTCCTTTAAATTTTAGATAATTACAAATTTCATCATTCAACTTTTTTCTCACTCTTATTCCGGTCATTAAAATTTAGAATTTTGAATATACTCGTTGAACTTTCGATTTATTTCTATTTTGGTCACTCCGTCAAATACTTAACAACATTATGAATGAGTATTTTTCTTTAAAAAAAAGTATGACATGACCTCAAAACATTATTCATTTTATGAGAAAGCCCCTACTTTTGAATTCCCTTTGGTTTCTCGATTATGAAACACCTTATTCCAAATCTCGACGGTGGAGAGGTGGAGAATGTGGAAGTAAGTTGTATATATTGATTCTATATTGACCGCACGATGGATATTATGGATTAAAGTGGTTTGGGGTTTTATGGGTTTTTTTATTATTTGGATTTGAGTTTTAAAGTGATTTAAATAAAATCTAAACTAAAGAGCGATACGAGACAATGAGGCGAATTCATTGATATCTGTAGTGTTCAAAAAAGATGTTAAAGAATGGTAATTATAGCACCAATATGATACATCGATGAAACTACAAAACTTTTAAAAAGAAGAATAACAACAACAACAACAACAAAACCCAATTCCCATATGTATGGGGTAAGGGGGAGGTAGGGTAGTAGGCTGCCCCCAACGCCAGGTTGAGAATAGCTTCCGTGAAAGACCTCCGGCAGTCAGAAAATTAAAAATATAGATAAAATGCAATGCATGTATAAATAATTACATAAATACATAGCTAAACAGTATTCATATGCAGTCATTAATATATAAACAACGAATGAATGAAAAAGAAGGGATAATACCGTGGATATCACATGAATTTTATGTCAATAAAAAATAGTCGATGTCAATAAACATGATTCTCATGTAACTCTTGTATTTGTAATTTAAATATGAGTAATTAGAGAGTTTAATGAATAATTTAAAAGAAATTAAACTTTAATAACTAAAATAGTAGAAGAAGAAAGTTGAATGATGAAATCTGTACTTTTCCCTAAAAAATTTATAATTTTATCTAGGGTAAATTACGTGTTTAGCACTTAAACTATTAGTTTGGTCCATTTTGATACCTAAACTTTCAATTTTTTCAAAATCACATCTAATATTTAGTTTTTATTTTATTTTACTACACAACCGTTAAAAACTTAATGAAACTGCATTTTTTATGGGTAAATTACTTCATTCATCAATCAACTATCTTCTAACTCCTATTTTGGTACTAAAGTTTAAAACATTTCAATTTAGCTTCTCAACTTTCAAATTGCTCTTATTTTAATCACTCTAATTTATTTCATTAATAATTTCTGCGACATGACATTTTTATCATTTATTAATATATAATTAAAAATAAAAAATTAAATTTGAAAGTTAGATTGATTAAATTAGGAGTAATTTGAAAGTTAAGTAATCAAATTAAAAAAAATTAAAATTTAGTAACAGAAATAGGAGTGAGAAGATAGTTGATGCAATTTACCCATAAAAAAGGATGTCACGTGCAAATCACCCGTTAAGTTTTTAACGGTAAAGTACTAAAACGAAATAAAAATTAAACGTTAGGTATATTTTTGAAGGGCTTTATCCATGGGTCTAGTGTTGTAGTTTTGAAGGGCTCAAGGGCACATTTGACCCTACCCAGTCCTGGCAAATGAGATTGGTCAGCCTAGGGCCGGATTCAGCTACAAAGCTGGGCCCTGCCTTTAAGCATGTAGAAAAATGCACTCTTTTTCCCTCCAAATTGTGTTGGAATAGTATGTAGAATAGACCATTAATATTTAAATATTCTATAATTGTTAGTGTTCGAATTTAAAAATTCAAGAGATAACAATTATTCATTTAATTAGTGAGATCGTTTGGTTTGTATTATCTCTTAAATTATTAATATAACTTCTTAAAAAATTACACTCCTATTACAAAATTTGCATGCGTCTCTTAGTGAGGATGAACATGGGTCGGGTAGAGTTAGGTCGGATTTTTATCAACTCGATCCGGTCCAAAAATATATATCATTTATCCGAAATCCAACCTGACCCGAATTTAAGGGGATTTTACCCGACTCGAGCGACCCGAAATAAATGTATTTATATATAAAAAATATTATTTTTATTCAAGAAAAAAGGGATCTAATTGAAACAAATAATATATAGTGTTATTATTGTAATTATCTCTAAATATATAAGGTAAATTTATATTATTTTTTGGGTCGGGTCGACTCAAGTATTTTTACCATAAACTCGAACCTGAACCAGACCCTGACATATTTTCTAAAAAAACCCAACCGATAGGATCCAAACTCATTTTTTTAAAAAAATCCGATCTTATTGAATCGAAACCTATTGAATTCATATCATGTGCCTATCTTTATCTCTTAGCCATGTTATTGTCCCATATGTATGGAGGGTATAAATGAGATATTTGAAATCTTGATTAAGGAAATTAAATATATTTAACTAATTAATAACGTGAAAGGGTGAAAGAATCGACTAAATACGAATTGGTAAAAATAATAATATCAAGATAAGGTTATCTTATATGGATTATTACGAATCGATAGGATATCAATGAAAATTGATTGAAATATATTAAAATTTGGACTATTTCATATTATTTCAAGATTAATACTATCGATATGATCAATTCAATTAGGGTATTGATTATCATGATCAAGGTTGAATCGAGGGGATCTGATAAATTTTTCTTGTATTTTAGATATTTTTTCTATATTTTATATGAATTATTTAATTTCGTATTCCTAAAATTTTAATAAATCTTTTATGTTCACGTCCTCTAACACAAATGTATGTGTCCGTTCCTAATCATGACGGGAACACAAATGAACATGTGAAACATGCATCAATGTCTTTGCCTAAAGTTTAATTCGTCACAGAAGGAAGATTAAATAAAACCTTGAACCCTCCCCACTCAGAATTTAAAATATTTTTTGTAAAAAATATTTTATTGGATGCACCCCATGTGGTCAAGATTCAAGTCCAACCGACCGTGATTATTATAAAAAAAAACACCCTAAAAATATAATTTATTGGACCAATACCTCCCAAACAACATTAGTCAGAAGAGTACTTAAAACTGTTATGT